TGAGCAAAAAAAAAAAGATGGAGCAAAAAAACAATTCAATGCCTGAAATGAATGACATTCAAACTTTCGTCAATGATTCTATAATGTACAATTTATTTGATACAAATAACAATCTAGACAATACTATTACCCAGGAGTCACATGATTTTCATAACTTAGAAACTGGTATACCTGACATGGATCATAACTATTTATCACAACTTTTACATGCTGTAATGGAATCAGAATCCAAGAAGAGTGCAGTCGATTTTGTTTCAATGTCAGAGGTTGAAAGAATCCCGGTCTCTGAAATAAATGCTTTCAACAACTTTAGACCCTCTTCAGAATCCAATTTTCAGCCTGATAATACTAATGACAAGGAAGAAGACAAAAGTGTAAGTAGCAATATTGATGTAATTGATTATATTATTTAAAAAACTTTTTATTGAAAAAATAAATATATAATATATAAATATTTATGTTTTAGTCTATGAATGAAAGCAATCAAGATTTAGGTTATGGCGATGATGATGATAATTATGATAATCCCAGAAATATATCACCAAGTGTAAAGTATACATCAGCAAGAACCACTATAACAGCTACAAAATCAGGTTTAAATGAGAATGGCATTAATAAATCAAGAAGACTCTGGGATGATGAAGAGGTTTCTATTTTTCTTAATCATTTTAAGGAGGATTATGCATTATACCAAAAGAACAGTAAAAAATTTTATGAAAAGATGGCCAGTAAATATTTTACATCAAGATCAAAAGGTGCAATTCAAAGTAAACTTAATCAATTGTTGGATAAATATGAGGAAGTTAAAAGCAATTCGGCTAAATATAACTGGAAATGGTACAGAATTATTGATGATATCATTAAAGAAGATTCCAATGATGCTAATGATCATGATAGTGATAGATCATCTGAAATCAATTATTATAATGAAAGACTTAAATCCAAAAGACTTGTGAAAAGCAAAAATAATAAACCAACTGATGTTAGTGAAGTAGAATCACATGAAGTAATAATTGGTAACCATAAGATAAATAATAATAATTTTATAAAAGCTGGTTATTTTATGGAAGATGATTATGTAAAATTTAAAAGGTTTAATAATAATCACAATAATGCAAATAATATTATTAATCCTCTTGTCAATGATCAAGAAAACAACGCAATTGATAATGGTGCAGTTGAAAATAGAAATTGTATCAGTAAAAAAAGAAGAATTGGAATTTCTTCTGCATGTATAATTGCAGATGCTATCAAAGAATCAGTAATGTACAGAGAAAGAATGTGGGAAGAAAGTTTGAAATTTGAAAATGAAAACTTGAATAAAGAATATGAAATACAAAAAAACAGAATTGAATTGGAAATATGCCAATTGCAATTTGAAAGACAACAATTAAGACTTGAACATGATAACAAACTTAAAGAATTAGAAGTAAAACTATCTCAATTAAGCCAAAAAAATAATTATTGATTGAAATATTTTCCAAGCATTTAAGAAAAAATCTGACGTTTTTATTTGTTCTCTCTTTCTACTAATCTTCTCTTCTCTATTAATCTTGACAATATTTTCTCCCAATTAATAAAAATCAAATCTTCTCCATCAATCATAATTAATCCTTATTAGGATTTATTAATCTTATTTATGCATACAATTATTATTTTTTCAGTGTAGATATAGATATAGATATCTTTAGTTTTTATTGAATTAATCTAGGTTTTTTTAATATTATTAATAGTATTATATTAGATAGATCATCACCGGTTTTCCTGAATCTCAATGATAGCAGTTTTAAAATTGAAGATCTTCTAAATAAAGGACAATTCCATAAAATTTTTAATTAAAATGTTGATCAATTTTTTGTTTTAAGCTTTAAATCATCAGAGGAAAAACTTTTTACATTTGTTAAACAATTTAAAGTATTAGTTATTAGTCTATTAACTAATTATTTAGTCCGTTTCCTAATTTATTTAAAGTACAAGAACCGTTTAATGGTTCATTTAAAATTTAAAAATAATTTTCAAATGGTATTTGTTAAAACAAGTCACTAATATAGTGTTCCTAACCGAAAATCAAATTTTTTACAAATATTCAAAAAATCAATTTATTCAAGGATATTTGAATATATTAATATATATAGTCTATTTTCATAATTATTTTGGATACTCGTAATAATTGTAATTATTACGGATACTTGTAATTATTACGGATACTTGTAATTATTACGGATACTTGTAATTATTATGAATACTTGTGATTATGGATACTTGTAATTATTTTGGATACTTGTATTTATTTTAAATAATCATTTCAAACATTTGTTACGATATCACAAATGATTATCGATTGATAACAAACATTACTAACTTATTTGTAACTTATCCTACTATATAAATAAACATTTTCAAAGATAATTATATTTTTACAACAATTAAAATATTTGTCCGAAAACATTTTCTTTGTATGATGATATAATTTATTAAATAAATTTTTTGATATAGCTTGAAATGAACAATCAAATTGATATAAGAGATATGATGTCCAAAAAGGAACTTTATCATTAAAGAACAAGAAAAAAATTAACAATAGTTCGTTAAATTTATACAAATATCTGAAATAATGAATAAATATTTGAAATTCGTAATTTTGGATTTACGAATTTTTGATCGGGTTAAACAACAGAAATAAATCAGTCACAAGGAAGCCTTTGAGCTTTGCAAAAAAAAAAATTTATTTACTTAAAGTTATTCAGTACCATTAAATGCGCTTATAGATCCATCGAAACTTTTTAGGCACTAGAAAGAGGCAGTAAACGAGAACTAAGGTAATTTCGTAAATTTAATTGACAAGCATTGAATTATTGTGAGTTCCTTGCAATTAACTGACAAGAATGAGTAGCCCAAAGGTTAAACTGTAATCAAAAGGCATCACTACTTAACAAAATCAGAAAACTGTAAAGGCTTATTAAGAAATGAAATAAAAAGACAAATATTATAACGAATAAGTAAACTTGGTGGAAGTTAAATTAGTCACTCGTTGATCCTCTCTTTTAATCACTAGAATCTAACGTTTATTAATCAATCAAATGCAAGTAAAATATATTGTTAGTAATAATTAACAGATGATAATTTTAAAATTAATAACATTTTAGAGATTAATGAACTATCATTATTTGTATAACTTTTTAAAGCTTTAGTAACCTCTTCTACTTTTATGATATGTACCTGGATGTGATTTGTGTACTTGTTTCAAAACACTGCTACTATTACTACTATTATCATTACTACTATTGCTACTATTATTATCATCAATACTATTGTGAATTACTACTATTATTACCATCAATACTATTGAAAGTTTATTGTTATATAGCAAAATCAAAAGCACTCTAATAGTTGGTCTTTTTGATGGATCCACATCCCAACACCTATGCATCATTCTCAAATTTAAAAATCTATGAAAAAAAAATTTGGAGACATTTTTTTTTACATAAATTGATACCCTCTTTAAAGCTAATGTGGTTTGTTTATAAAGCTCCGAACGGTTCGGTTTAAACCGAAATTTTCGGTTCGGTTTCGGTTTTTAAAAAACCAATTCGAAAATTTTCGGTTCGGTTTCGGTTTGGTTTCGGTTTTTAAATTATTATTGAACACAAAAAAAAAAAATTTTTTTTTCCGATAATAAATAAAATATATATTATTAATATATTAATATACAGTATATAATGGTTTTTTAAAAACCGAAACCGAACCGAAAATTTCGGTTTAAACCGAACCGTTCGGAGCTTTAGTTAGACCCAGTTTCCTTTTTAAGGCATCTGCTAGTGCTTATTAATCCCCATCCATTGCTTTTAAGTTAAGCCATTAAAAATATGTCTTGTTCTGGTTTAGTAAGAGCTTGAAAGGACTCTCTTATTCTGAAAATTGTTCTTTGGGAATTCTTGAAGAACAACCACAATTACATCCTTTTTCTAAAAAATCAATTGCTTTTTGATACTCATTAGAACAGTCAGTAGACACTCAGTACTGTACACTTTTGCATTCCTGTATGATCTGCAAATCAGTATTTCTGTATTAAATGTTATGAGTACAGAATCCATTTGATTGGTGTGGGTGTTGTGTACTGTATGTTGGTGTATGACATTTTAAAAAAATTTCTATTTTTGTAGACCATACAGTACAGGAATGCAAAAGAGTACAGTACTGAATGTCTATATACTCTCATTAGAACCATTATATTTATTACTTTTCATATATATACACTTATCTCTCTATATATAATTTTGTGTTCACTTTGTAGTTTTTAATAATTTAAAGGCACACAGTCCACATTGTCTATAACAGATCATTGGGACTGGGAAATTTGTCTGTTATAGAGAGAATCTGGTATAGAAAATTGCACTATATTAAGTCACAGAATAAAAAAATTTTATTTGTTATATTATTACATAAAAAATATTATTCAATATTAATATTAAAAAAATGGTTTAATTTCAATTGTTTTGTTGAATGGAATCTATTTTTTTGATTTTCTTTGCATTTTTTAACAGTTTCAATTCCCCATTTGTAAATTCCTTAAATTGTTGTTCAACAAACAAGTTTACTTTTTCAATAACCAATAAAGCATCTCGGCTTGAAATAGGAGGCATCTCTTTGATATCTTAATCCTGATTTTCTTCATTAGAATTCAACATAGAAACTATTTCTTCTTCATTCAGCAAATCATCATAATCAACATTTTTTTTCATTTCATCAATGGAAAGGTATTCTAATCCAGGTAAAACTAAATTCATTAATTAAATTTTGCAATTCATTTTCATTGTCATTTCTTGAAGAATCTAGGAAAGATGCAACTTCAGCAGAGTTTTCATCTACACCAGGTAAAATTGCAGTTTTTTCCAGCAATTAATGATTGTTTGATTGGTGGCATTTCCCAAGCTTTTGTGGTATACTTAATTGCATGTTTATTGTAATTGGAACCATTCTTCACCTTCTTTTTGTAAATCATGACTGCAGTACTTAGAAGTATCGAATACCTGGAATTTACAGTGCCTGACAAGTGCAATACTCATGTTTACTTTAAGAAAGTTGAAGCCAAATTTTTGGCAGTTGAAACATTATTTAAGTTTTCGTTTGAAAAACAATGAAATAATTTTACCACTGTCTACCATTTACAATGATTGGCAAGCATCTCTGAAGCTTATTTAACAAAATAGCATTAAAAAAATTCCATCTTCTATAACTTCATTTTGCAAATATTTGCTTGGTACTTGTGAAACCTTTGAAGGTTCCACCATAAGGTAAAACTGTGGGAGGTTGTATACTAAATTCTACCAACTTAACCTTGACAAGGAATTTACTGAGAGAATTAGACTACTTGATTCAACAATATTCTTGGAACATAAATTTTCAGAATTCTTACAAAACATATCAGGAGTGAAAGATAATGAAGAAATTTTGCCTAAAATATCAAATGAAAAACAAACAATGGAGGACAATGAAGAAGCTTTGTCTAACAAAAACAAATTCGACATGATGAACATAAAGTACATGATTTTGTACCTGAATTGGTTTATACACTCACTGGTCATAAATATAAGGACACTTGCAGATCATTGGAAATAATTGAACAAAGAAACATGAAAAAAAAT